GAAACACATATCCATGGTGGGGTAAGTATATATATTCACAACACTTTACAAAGCGCTGAGATTCCAGAAATTAAGATTATGTCAAAAGAAATCCACTGTGAAATAATTGGGGCGTTTATTAAAAAGCATAATCTGGTATTCATTGTTATATATAGGTCCAATTCACAATATTCTAATTTTGAAATATTTCTTACAATTTTAACAAATGTCTTATTACTACGTATTAGAAGCTAAACACAAAAATAGTAGAATCATTATATGTGGAGATTTTAATGTAACATTTTTAGAACTTGATAGCAGAACAAGACAACTCACCGACTTGTTACTTCAGTTTAATTTTGAACAAACAATATTTACATATACTCGTATTACAGAGAGCTCTCAAACATATCCAGACAACATATTTGTTAACTTTCCTTTTGCTCAGACTACAGAGTCAGACCATGACCCTCAATTATTAACTTTCCTAAATCATGAGCACTCCATATTAGGAGATATGACCCATTTTAGATCCTTCTCTCAAAATAATATAAATAATCTTCTACAAAATGAAACCTGGCATGACATGACAAAAGCAACCAATGCAAATAAAAAAACTGAAGCACTTCATGATACATTTATGAAACATTTTAATGCCTCAATTCCAAATATATCCCAACCTAAAAGAAAATGTAATAAAAACTTGAGTTATATGAATACAGATGAAATAAAAAGACAAAAAGAACTAATCTCATTTTTACAGGATGTCATTAAAAACAAACCAACCGACTAAAATAAAAAAGTTATATAAACAAGAGAAAACTAAATACAATGTATTGCTAAAAAATGCAAAACAAAATAACTTACTTCAACAAATTAATAATTCAGACAATAAATCTAAAACTGTATGGCAAATAATAAATAATAGCTTTGTTCGCGGTAAGAATCCTGACAGTAACGATTTCGCAGGCGCAGAGTTAAAAAGCGTTCACGGAACAAAAAGAACTGAACTATTGGTTCTATCCTGCGTTCGCGGTAAAGTAATTATTGGTTTTGAACCGCTTGTCTATACATGAAACACAGAGATATAATAGGGATTGCGCGCGCGGTAAAAATTCAGAATTGATAATGATTCGGGCATGCGCTCAAAGTATGAATTAGTAATTCTGAATCAATTCAGGATTTTTACCGCGAACGAAACTAATGAAACAGGACGTAATAATAAAAATAAAGTAGAACTTTTAATAAATATTTTGTAAATCATTCATCTGATATAGTAGAAGGCATCCTCAATAACAATAAAAATAAAATTGACTTAACTTGTTATAACCGAAAACATCAATCAGTTTTCTTAGCTCCTTTTACTGAATCTGACACCATAGATATAATACAAAACATTAAATCAAAAAGAACTCAAGATATTATGAAATTAATACCTATTTATTAAAAAACTGCGCCCAAAATATTGTTGTTCCTATTACTGAATTGATAAACTGTTGTTTAGCTGAAGGTATCTTTCCAGATATTTTTAAAACGTCCAAAGTTCTACCATGCCACAAAAAAGGAGATGACTCAGTACTTGAAAACTTTCGCTAAATACATATTTTACCATGGTTTTCTGCGGAACAATATGGTTTTAGACATGGGAGAACAACTACAGATGCTATGCTGGCTTTAATGAATAACATTCAGGAGTCTTTAGAAAACAAATCACAATGCGTAGTTATATTCACTGATCTGTCTAAAACATTTGACTGTGTAAGTCACACATTGTTAATCAACAAACTAGATAAATATGGCAATAGAGGCATTGCGAATAAGATGATTGCTTCTTATTTGCAAAACAGACAACAAAGTATATATTACAGAAATTAACTTAGTAAACCTTTATTAATGAAAAGAGGTGTTCCACAAGGATCCATACTAGGCCCTCTATTATTTTTTATATATACCAATGATCTTCTATCATATATGAATTCAAATAATGCTGAATTACTAATTACCTTGTATGCAAATGATACCAATTTCTCATATCACTGCAATAACACATCTGACATAGTTATCAAAAACTCTAAGATTATGACTGAAGCTAAACAATGGTTTGATAGCAACGAATTATTTTTAAATCACAATAAAACTGAAACATGTGTCTTCAGGTTGAACCAAACTACTAGTGAAACAATGAACACTAAATTTCTCGGTATATATTTTGACACACAACTTACATGGAACTATCAAATAAATAACTTATGCAAAAGTTGGCAAAATTCACGTTTGCTCTACTTTGAATAGCAAATATAGTTAATACAGAAGCAGCAATAACTACTTATTATGGCTTATTCCATTCCAATTTAACATATGGGATTCTAACTGCTAGCTTCACTTCATTACAAAGACTTTTTATCTTTCAAAAATTAGCAGTTCGCTCTATACTGAATTATTATCTATACTAAATTATTATGAACCATGCCGACCACTATTTAAACAACTTAGCATAATGACCCTGTTTTCGCAAATAGTATTTGAAAACTTGCTAGCCATAAAAAATAATTTGGGAAACTTCACATGTCACTCAGACAATCATACATACGATACCAGAGGAAAAAAATCAGCTAATCCAAACGAGAACTAAAATAAACAAGTCTCGAACAATAGGCATTTCATTCTACAGGGTATAACTAAATAAGTGTAAAACATTTAAGGGGGTGATTCCTCATCGAAAAAAAGATAGGATCTTTCATATAAAGAAGTAACTACAAAATAACAATAAATCCAGTTCGCATTTATGACGATGTATCTCTGTAGTTGTTCGTAAAATAATTTTTTGCTGCGAACTGGTTTATTTTGGGCAAAAAATTCAAAAGACATTTTTTGTTTAGAATAATACAGGCTATCGGAAATAAAATTTTAAATGGTAAACAAATGATAAGACAAAAAGTTACGTTGGAACGAAATTTTAGGGGTTGAGTTTTCCACCCCTTACAACCATGGGGGCTAAGTGTCTTTTTGGTAGTAGAAAATAACAGGTTAATTTCAATATTGTAACTTGTTTAGTGCTTGGGAAAAAATTGTTAACAAATTTTATGTACCCCCTTTAAGGGGCTGTATCTTAACAAGGGATGCTCCAATGAAGTTTCTTTATATGAAAGATGCTATCTTTTTTTCGATGAGGAATCACCCCCTTAAATGTTTTACACTTATTTAGTTACACCCTGTATAATGCACTTCCGCCCCACATCCGTAATATACCAGGAAAAAAGTTTGAACATCAAATTAAAAAGATATTACTGGACATGTGTCTATATAATACTAACGATTATTTTGTAAGAGTAAAACGTCACCTAATATTTTTAATATTGTATTTTTAACCGACTTCAAAAAAGGAGGAGGTTCTCAATTCATCGCGATATTTTTTTTATGTATGTTCAGCGATAAATCTTTAACACGGTGTCCGATTCTTTTTTTGTTGGAAAGGGGAGGGGGTACTTCAGGGGTGGTCCCATATAAATTTGTTCAAAATCTAATAATTGGGTCCATGAGAAAATCCTCAAACTCTTCATTTTTTTATGTATGTTTAGTGATAATGCTTTACCACCTTGTCCGATTTATGATTCTTTTTTTGCTAGTAAGGGTGTACCTCAGGGGTGGTCCCATATATATATATATATAAATTTGGTTAAGATGTGGTGATGACATCTGCACGTTTTTGGAGTCGGTTTTTTTAAATTTTTAATTTCTAATACTTTTTTATATATTTTTTATTACTATTACCAACCATGATCTTTTAAAATCCTATTTTATTTTAAATTTTATACGAATATGCTGTATGTTAATGTATATAAAATGTGGTGTATCTTACCATTTATGTGTACTGATGACTATGTAAACATGTTTTTATATATGTATTACTGAGAATAAAATATTTGTATTTCTATGTTTGATCGGTTACCAATCTCTATGTGAAAACGATATCTATAGTCAGTTTTGAATACTTGAATTCCCAAAATAATTAAAAATCAAATAAACTCTCCACAATAAAGTTAGATTAAATATTTTTATTTTGAGATTTTCATTTTAGTCCGATATCCTATCACATATTTTGTTCCCATAAAGCAAAAGACCACTCTCGAGCAAAATTATAGTCAACTATCTTCAGATACCTCTCAAGCCAGTAAAACAGAATAGTGTGTATCAATGAATTACGTTAATATACATTTTTACAACTTGTACCTGTGAAAAAAGTCTGAAATATGGATGGATTAATACGTCATGCATGTATGACATTTTTATAAATGTATCATATTTTAAGTGTTAAAAAATAAAATATTTCAATTTTATTAATAAATATAAGTTTAACACCAATCAAATAAAATCACAAAGGCTCAATCAATTAATACTAAGTTGATACGTAAAATTGGAGTGTAATCCTATCTCTGGATTTTAGTTTCTCGCTCTAACTGTCCTTTCTTGTTATTTCCATTCTGTACATAAAGTTTACAACAATAACAAACGGCAAAACGAGAATGGAAATACGGCAACGTAGTAGGAGTAAAATTAAAATTCTAGACATCAGTGCAGAGTGGTGTGGAAATGTGCATTAAGAACTTCCTATACAAGATTACTTCTATACCAATTTGAAAAAATTGATACAAAGTATATTTTTCAGTTAAGATACGATTTTATTTATGTGTTGGTTAAACCCGAACTTTGATTTTAAGCTCAGTCACTTTACTAGAGGACAGACGTCCACGATATTGAAATAAAAAATGAAGATGCGGAGTGACAGCCAGAGTAATGTTATCTAAATTCGGCGAGTAACTTAAATTAATAAAATGAATAATATATATTATGCATACTGCTAAAATTTAAAAATATATTATACTTATGTAATTATTTTAACATCTTTTCTTTTTCAGTTTAATGGCCTCCATATATTAGAGTCTCTTTAATAAACGTTCACAGCTTGAGCTGTGCGTTGATAAATCAGTCAGCCAGGTGAAATACCTGAATTAAATAAATACCTGAGCTAGCATTTCCTGCTGCAGTATCTTTTGGTTTCAAATATTGTGCATAATTATTAAGTCCTCTATAAACTTTATCATCTTCTTTGCCTTCAAGATCTTTATTGATTTCCAATCTTTTTTCAAAAATTGCTTGAGCATCTCTATCTCTTTCTGTATCAATTTCCTAAAAAAAGTATGTTGGTTAGATTATTAGCAACTTCGAACAACCACTAGATTAATCATTTTATTTATAAATAAGCATTTGTTTACTTGCAAGTATTCAATTCGTATTTTAGGTTAGACTGCCGCATTAGAAAGAGCGAGTCGCCTATTAAATTGAGTGGGGATGGTGTATGTGAGTACATTTACAACTACGACGCTTGCTTTACACTGCAAAATAAATGGCGTACTCTACTGTAAATCACTTTCAACTACTTATAGTTGCAATCTAATAATGCATCAAAAATGCAAAAATATATTTTTTTTAATATAACTTTTAATGCATTTTTTCGCGGCTTTATACAACCTTTTGTTAGTTACATTCCAAATTATAACCACAAACAATCCTTACATACAGACTCTCCCATAATAATTTAGCAACTATGTTGGATAACAACCCGAATGCTTGCAATTCGCCTTTTGTAGAACAGAAGTAAAAGTTGGAAATGCTTTTGCCAGTTCTCCCACTTTATACACATAAATTGACAGGTTGGCACCGGATCTCACCGAAGTGGACGCGATACATTGGCGTACAAAATTATTTTATAGATTTTAATAACAATTTCGAGTAAATAGTTTAATAAATTGTGAATAGCTGTTGAAATTTTGTAAAATTATAATTTGAATATTATAATACATGTTTAATAATTATTTATAATCCATAAATACATGCGATTGTCCGGTTCCGCCGATAACAATTTAAAATTACTTATTCTATGAAACGACACTGGCAGGTAAACATTACTGTGAAATTCTCGGAGCCGCCCGACGTGGTTTGACGTTTACCCCCTCTCTACCTACCAAAAGACTTTTCAACTTTTACTTTCTCTATAAACAACAAAATTGGTCTAGTAGTCGTTCGTCGTTAATTATAAATAATATAAAATAATTTGCAACTATAACCTTAAAATGCAGGTAAAAATGTTTTTGTTAATGATATAAAATAGTTGATAGATAAAAATGTAGTTTTATTAAACTTAATTTATTGGTCAAATCCTTAAGAAAAATATTTAAAAATAAATAATACTTACTACTGTGGCAGTTGCTCCTTGATCAGAAGGTCCAGCAGGCATTGCAGATTTGTTTGATTTATAATTTACAGAAAAATTATCTTCATCGCTACTAGATGATTTATCAACAGTAACTTTTGATAATTTTTGTAACCCACTGGTAGATTGTACATTTGGATTTAATTTAATTTTACGTTTGCTGAATTTAATTAAAGATTGTTCTCCTTTTTCAGGTGCGTCTGTAACAATTAAAAAACAATTACATACCTAATTACAATTTCTGTAGAATTTTGTTCTTTATATGACAATATTTATAATTATTTAGTAGATATACCTACAACTTCAACATTTGTTTGGGTTGAAGAACATACTGGATTTATCAGGTAATGAAAAGCTGATGTTTACACCACAAAGATCATAATCTACAACAAAAGGAAAATGCAGCAGGAAACTATTGCACAGTTCTGAAAGGATTTGTATTGTCTCCTGTATCCTAGTTTACCTGCACTTCCTAGGGAATATAATTATTTTCTTTACTGCCTCAAAATTCTATTCAAGTAATTATATTTAAACCCAAAATCTATTTTGGTAAACCCATTTGACAAAATTAGGAATAGTACAAAATTCCTGCTTTGGCTCTAGTAACAGCCATATGATTCTTCTAATCTAATAACTAAAAACCGAGGAGGAAACCACTAAGGCCAAAATGTAACCGTATTTCGGAAATTACCTAAAAAAATGTTTTGTGATTTCGCTGAAAATCAACGACGAAAAACTACTAGACATTCATTCATAATTAAGCCTTTATTTATTGCAATCACTTAGATTGTGTTTATTATTACGCAGACAGAGTTGTCGCATCGTCTGCCACATTAAAAAAAAGGAGACAGTTGCTAATTTGAGCGGGTATGTTTTGTGCGAGTATGTTTATCTGAGGAGTGAGCATGCATTTTATGTGTACGCTTGCATTACAATGCTGTCATAATTTAAAATTAGTTGCGTAGCTTTTCTGAAAAAAAAAAAAGGTAATAGTTCTGATCTCTTTTGGATAATTGAAGCATGCCATATGCAAAACGTCGTAAATGCCACAGGTAGTATATATCGTGCTTTATTTGTATAAAAAAATCATATCGATGACTTTTTCCCAAACAGAGATATATGAGGAACTTTATATCAAAACGTAGAAAGTGCCAAATGACAGCTGTTTAGTTTAAGCTGATTAGATCAGCTTAAAACTACAAAGTGAAAAGTGGTAATGTGGTCGGATAACTGCAGAGGGCTGAACAAGGGCATTTGGTTTGATTATATTACTTTGGTAGCCAAAGGGTATTTCGTTGAAATAGTGCTAAACTAAAATAAACTAATATACATATAAATCGTATCTCCTGTAAAATTTCTAAATTTTCACATATCACTTTTTGCATATGGCACTCTGCATTTAATCTCAGGAGTGTTTTCCCACGCTAGTCTAATAATTGTTCCTCAGTTCTTAATGAAATCGAGAGATCAAATAGTTCTTCTAGGTTGATTTTGAAGCTTTTCTACTATGTTGACTAGTAGACCGTCAGATAGTGATCGCTTTAGGTGTCCCATTTTCGCTGCAGGAATATTTAGATAACGGTGAAAACAAAACTATAAAATACATAAATAATATTCCAACAATTGTTGATAGCAATGCACCTACCCAAAACAAACAAAAAAACTAGTAAATGGTCCTAATATATCTTTTAGAAGTGATATAATTTTTTTGGCACACCATGATGAAGTTTTAGTAGAAATTTTTTGCTATCAACCATCTATAGTTATATTAAGTGAAGCAAGATGTACAGATGATATCGAAGATGTTGAAATTGCAGTAGATGGATATGTATGTGTAAGATGTAATTCTTCAAAACGACACACGGGAGGAGTACTTATTTATCTGCGGAACAACATTAATTTTAGTGTGAAAAAGGAAGATATTCTTGTGCCAAATTATTGGTGTAAAAATATTAACGTTAATTTTAATAAAACTAAATGGTTGATTGGTGGTTTTTACCATTCGCCCAGTTCCAGTGATGCGGTCTTTATAGATAAAATTGAAGAATGGTGCGAAGATTTTTTATCGGGAAACATTAAAGCTTTAATTAATAATAATACTCTTCCTAATTCACCCCCTTATGAGTGAATTTTAAACCCAAAAGATGAGCTTGTGCGGGGAAAGGGACGGCTATTATTATTATTATTTGCCGTGGCGCTCCGGGGCGACTTAAAGACGATTGATGGTGCCATTTGACTTACAGGTGAGGAAAACCCGGAACACCTCACCCACCCAATTGCGGGTGATGTTAATATTGCTTATTTTGTAGATAGTTTTTATAGCAAAAAGATAAAAAGTTTAATTCAGTCTTATGGCATTGAACAACATGTAAATGATTATACCAGAATAAGTATGGACCAGTGTTGCCAGAATATATTTTTGTAATGTACCAGATTTATCTAAAAAATGTACCAGATTTCATATAAATGTACTAGATTCTATAAAATTACCAGATTTTTCTAATTATGAAGTATGGTCATTAAAGACCAAAAAAAGGTTTATAGAGAACACGAACACAACAATTTTAAACAATATTTTATCTCTCGACAAATTTCTTACACTATTTTATATCTCGAGCAGTTTTTGAATAAGATTTTATTACCTTTTGATACTGTTTTATCTCTCGAACAGTTTTTAAATCTTTTTTTAAGTCTTGAGCTATTTTGAAAGAATATTTTATCTCTCGATAAGTTTCTAACAGTATTCTATCTCACGAGCAATTTTTAACAACTTTTCTTTATACCTTGAGCAATGTTTGTACAAAATTTTTTGTAAAATGTTTAACACTATTTAATCACTCGAGCAATTTTTAAGTTTTTTTATTTTTTAAGCTGTTTTGAACAATATTTGATCTCTGGTGCAATTTTTGAAAAAGATTTTAATACCTTTTGATATTATTTTTATCTCTCGAACAGTTTATAAAAAACCTATTTTTATCTCTTGAGCTATTTTTAAAAAATATTTTATCTCGATAAATTTCCAAGAGTATTCTATCTCTCGAGCAATTTTTAACAACTTCTTTTATCTCTCGAGCAATGTTTGTACAATATTTTTTTTAACACTATTTAATCACTCGAGCAATTTTTAACAGCCTTTTTTTACCTTTCAAGCTATGTTTGAACCATATTTGATCTCTCGTGCAATTTTTGAACAAAATTTTAACAATTTTTAACACTATTTTATCTCTCGAGCAATTTTTGAAAAAGATTTAACAACTTTTGATAACATTTTATCTCTCGAACAGTTTTAAAACAATTTTAAACAAATTTCTAACAGTATTTTATCTCTCGAGCAATTTTTATTAACATTTTTTATCTTTCTAACAATTTTTAAACAATGTTTTATCTCTCGAGAAATGTTTAACAGTATTTTTTAATTCTCGAGTAATTTTTGAATAAGATTTTAATAACTCATGATACTATTTTATCTCTCGAACAATTTTTAAACCTTTTTTATCTCTTGAGCTATATTTAAACAATATTTTATCTTTCGATAAATTTCTAACATTATTCTATCTCTCGAGCAATTTTTAACAACTTTATCTCTTTAGCAAACTGCACAATATTTTAACTCTCGACAAATTTATAAAAATATTTTAACTCTCAATAAATTTTTGACAATGTTTTATATCTTGAGCAATGTTTGTATAATATTTTATTTCTCGAGCATTTTTTAATACCTAGTATTTTATCGTTCGAGGAATTTTTAAACAATGTTTTATCTCTCGATAAATTTCTAATAGTAGGTATCTCTTGAGTCAATTTTGAACAATATTTTATTTCTCAACAAATTTTTCAATAGTATTTTATCCCTCGAGCAATTTTTGAACAAGGTTTTAACATTTTGTAATACTATTTTACCTCGAGCAATTTTTGAACACGATTTTAACAATTTATAATACTATTTAATCTCTGGAAAAATTATTAAATATTTTTATCTCTCATTAAATTTCTAACAGTATTTTTATCCCTAGAGCAATTTTTGAACAATATTTTACCTCTCAAGCAATTTCTAATACTATTTTATACTTTGATCAATTTTTAACACCCTTTTTTACCTCTCAAGCCATTTTTGAACAATATTTGATCTCTCGTACAATTTTTAAACAATGTTTTATCTCTCGATAAATGTCTACTATTTTATCTCTGAAGTAATTTTTAACAACTATTTTAATTTCTCTTGCAATTTTTGACCAATGTATTTTACACTTCAAATGGAAACATACGCTGAAAAAGTACTAGATATTGTGTCGAGTGTACTAGAGTACCAGATTCTCAGAGAATGTACTAGATCTAGTACAATTGTACTAGACTGGCAACACTGGTATGGACAGTTCGACATTAATCGATTATTTTTTATCGAATCAAAATATTTCTGTAAGTGTTCATCATTTTCCTAAAATAACTGATCATTCGATTATAAGTACCTATTAATTTTAAGAAAAATGTGGATTATGTGAATGAATTAAATTTTTTCTCTAGAAAATTAAATGTAGATAAATATCATGAGATAAATTTAGAATTAATAGCATGTAACTGGTTATTTGACTCAAATAATGTAAATTAAATTTTTAGTCAACTGGAAAGTAATTGTAGTAGAGTTTTAAACAGTGTTGCACCTATTACAGAGATACAGATAAAGAAAAATAATGTTCCATGGTATGATAAGGAGGTAAAAGTACAAGCCAGAGAGAGGGATAAAGTCATAGAAATAGTATAGAAAGCCGATTCCATATATCAAAACTGAAACCCTAAGGAGAAAATAGTGTGTCGGAGCTCATGCGTATAACGGTGCTGGCTCGAACAGGACCGGTGCAAGTTTTTTATTGATCGAACAAATAGTTCAAACCATGTTTTATTCATACATTTTTAGAGATGCTTCTATATAAAAAACGATGAAAAAAATTCAAGTAGGATAAATATGTTTTTTGAAAGAAAAATATGGCATGAAAAATGAATTGGTTAATTTACAGAAATCATTAGTGCTGCAGTCACGAGATTTTGCTTGTGATTTGACATCTTATTTGATTTAGTATCATTTGCTACAAGTAAATTTAATTTGAGTAGTGCAAAATAGGGGGCAGGTGCGTTTCGCCCAGGAATATTATGTTCGATATTTTTTTATATTTTGTCAGCCAAGACTGTGAGTCGTTACTTACAA